GCAGATTAGAGTATCTCATAAATTCTGTGATATAATATTGCACATGGGCAAGGCTGCCAAACCAGACTGGCATAGAATAGAAGCAGGATCAAAGATTCTCATAAGAAATAAGCTACAAGTTGAGTTTTTATATATAAAAAGAAATGGGAGCAAACAAGAAGGAATGGTATTGTATACTGAGTATAGTAGACACCGTTAGCTGCCTACACAGGAGCCATTCTCTACAATTTCAAGGCTAACATGGCCTTGTTTTCGTGAGGCATAGCAATGTATCTAGTCCCAAGGGATAAATTCTGATGGGTCTGAACCCATTCACCTCTGCCACACACTTTTCAGCCTCATTTCTAAGGCTAGCACACTCTATCTAAGATTGTGGAGTTCCCCCTCCCCCCACATAAAATGGCAAAGAATTAGAAGGGTAGGGCAAAACTCAGTGGTAGAGCACATGTTTAGCATTCATGAGGTCCTGGGTTCAATCCCCGGTAATAAATTTTTTAAAAAATGATGATATCACTTCTATGTGGAACCTAAAAAAAAAAGAACCTATTTACAAAACAGAAACAGACTCACAGACATAGAAAACAAACTTATGGTTACCAGGGTCTGAAGCAGGTGGGAAGGGATAAACTGGGAGTTCAAGATTTGTAAATACTAATATATATAAAATAGATAAACAAGTTTATATAGCACAGGGAATTATATTCAATACCTTGTAGTAACTTACGGTGGAAAAGAATGTGAAAATGAATATATGTATGTTCCTGTATGACTGAAGCATTGTGCTATACACCAGAAATTGATATAACATTGTAAACTGACTATACTTCAATAAAAATATTAAATAAATAAACCTAATTACCCCCCCCAAACACACACACACACACAAATGGTATAGAATCATGAGGAGAAAACCAAGGTTCCACTCTTTCCTTCTTATAATGCTGGTATATTGACTTAATACCTGAAATGCCACAGCCACATTGTGACCTTAAGAAGGCCAGAAAATTACAGAAATGTCAATTCAGTCTTCACAGTCAGGAGCTCAATGGAGAACTAAATCTGGAACCACCTATCTCCAGATATGTTACATGAGAGAATAAAATGCCTTATGTTGATGTTGTTTAAGACAGCCTCGGCAACTTTTCTGGAAACACAGCCAAAACATTCCTAATGGAATCACCATGGGAGGCACACGTGCAAAAACCCAGAAGCAATGCATTTATGGAACCGCAGTAGTTGTTCATTCCTTGAGTTTAGAGTGTAAGATGAGAGGTAGCAAAATAAGGCTGAAAAAGAAAAAAGTAACCTGACAGGGAATGGCTTTGAAGAACATGCCAAGCAGCTTCGACTCTTTTCTTAACTACAGAGAAGAATCAGGACAGATTTGAAGGATAGGCATAAGGTAAGGTAGAGAAGTCTGCAGAAGTCAGATCACAGAAAGTTTTATCTAACTTTCTAGGAAGCCTGACCTTTATCCTATAGTAAACTGGGAGACTGATAAACAAGTGAGTAAAATAACTGTGTTCTAGAAAACCCAGTCTTATGACTCTGACTTGCAAAAACTGAGGCAGAAAAGCCAAGCTTATTGCAATAGTACAGACAAGAAATGATGGTGCTCTGAGTCAAGTAACACCAGTGGCGATAAAAAGGAAATAACATGTCCATGAGTTGTTTATGTGTAGAATGCATAGCTCTCAGGCATCAATTTGGTATGGGAGAGCAAAGGAGAAGGAGTTAAGATCTTTTTTTTTTTAATGGCACAAAATAAAGCCTTGCTTATTCTTGAGCAATGGCCTCACGCAAGGACAGTTTCAGAGAGTCACATCTCTTCTGAAGCCTTTATTGATCTCCTACATTTTCTTAGGAAAATAAGACATTTTATTAAGTAATGTTTGAGGATTTTTTCTTACTATTTAGAAAAATATGAAAGAATGTATCACTTACATCTAGCTGACAGGAATGTGAGAAATTCTTAGGATGAAGGAAAAAAGAAAAATGAAACAAACTGAGTGAATCATATACACTCTCCATTTTCTACCCTGAGTATTAAGAGAAGTAACTTGACTTATGCCATCTTTGGGTTAAAAAAAACTTTCAAGCTCTGAAATTCTATGTCTTAATATAAAAGATACAGAATCTCAGTCATAGCGAGGTGAGATGAGAACTCAAAATGGATTCGGCCACAGAAGATAAAGTAAAAGCAAGTATAACATAGATGAACAAAAAAAGGTGACTCAGATATGTGCAGGCTTTACCTAATTTATTTCTGGCCTTTAACAGAACACTAACTCTCATTAAAACTTCTGCAGCAAATTTGGGATCAAGGAATTTAGAGGCCTTAGAAGATACTTCAAATCAACAGATGAAGAAATAAGACCTTCAAGGAACTGAGGTTATCTGAGATCTATCATCACACAGAAGAGACAGTGTGAAGCAGGTTAATGGAAGTATTCTGAGCCCAGGAAAGACATCTGGTTTCCAGGCCTGGCGTAGTCATTAACTAGCTGTCTATGTGATATTGGAGAACAACAGTAGAAAAGTCATGCGGCACATATAAGGGGAACCAGGCTAAGAAAGTGAAAAGCAGAATCACAGAACCTCTTCATTTGTCATCTAAGCCAAGCAGAGGGCTAGCACAATGATAACAAGGCCTATTTGATAATTCAAGGACAATTCCATTACATGCATCAAAAATAGCTATTTTAAAATTCAGTGTATCAGTAGATTGTCAGTAATTGTTGCTCATCTTACTATTGTAATTTTGATCGTATTTTGGTGATCCTTCTATGAAAAAGGATGTAGTACAGAGAATTGATTTTACTCAGATCAATTTTTACTAAGAAAAATTATTAGCAATAAATACAGGCTAATATGCATTAACCTTATTCTAGCAGCAAAGCACATTTTAAAATTTAAAGAAAATATATGGATTAGAAAGTACTACAGCATTATGTTTAAGGCTTCTCAAGTAACTAAAAGTTCAGACCTACTCTTCAAAGAAATACAGATGATCTGTCTGGTTAGGTATGGTGATTTAATAATTATTAGAGAAGGTGATAATAATAATTGCCGACATTTATTGAATGTTCAGTGTTTCCAGTTACTCTAATAAGTTGCTGGCTTCTACTATCTCCTTTAATTCTCACAATTACATTATGAAGAACTATCATTACACTATTATTTAATAGATGAATAAACTGAGGATTAGAGGTTCTTAGTAACTTGCCCAAATTCCCACAACCAGACAAGATGGAGCAAGAAATGCAGCCCATTTCTTACTGTACAGCACAGGGAAATATATTCAACGTCTTATAGTAGCTTATGGTGAAAAAGAATATGAAAAAGAAAATATGTATATTCATGTGACTCAAGCATTGTGCTGTACACCAGAAACTGATACAACATTGTAAACTGACTATACCTCAATAAAAAAAAAAAAAATAAAGACCAAATCTGAAATGTATCAGCCTTATATGTTAAACCCAAGTTAATTATGGTGTCTTCCAGAAAAGAATATTTCCATAAATTATTAATAACCTGGTTCTATTAAAAAAAGAAAAGTTTCAGCAAATGTGAAAAGAGAAAATCCTGCTATTTTTCAATTCATGATATTAAAAAAAGATAATACATTCTTCCACAAAAAAGGTGGGTTTAGAGAACAGTTCTGACAGCATTTCACATGGAAAAGTATCAAATAGTCTGATAAACAGGGAAAAAAAATGATTCCAATGTGTTTGTTCCTCTTCTGAACTACTCAGTAACCCCAAGTGATTTTTAAATTGGGAGGCAGATTACTGGCAATAAGTTCATCAAATTTAGATCTATCCTGAACAGGCACATAATAGAAATCAAGAACATCTCTGACCCTGCACATCTGGTGAAGCCTGGAGTTAGGCACTGCATGGCCCAAGTCATCAGCCACACGTGCCAAGAAACTGAACTTCAGATGAACATCTTCCAGGGATATGTCCTGCCAACTGCAGGGAACAGATGAGCCAAAAACTTCTTTGACATGAGATTCCAAACGACTCTGGAGATCTTCAGGTGGTATGTATGTTTGGCTTCGTAAGGGTGGACACACCAGGATAGGTTCTTTCTTCACCTCTTCTACTGTCTCAGCGACCACTGGCTGTTTCTCTTTTCTGGAATAATCAAAAACAAATATGTGAATCTTTAGTTCACTGCATTAATGAGGTTGACACGTTGAGAAATACCAGACCCAATCTTGCCCATCAATCTAAATTAACAAATAATTGCACACTTACTACTCTTTTGGGCACTGCTGAGAAAACAAAGAATAAGATTAGGTCCCTACCCTTGGAAGCTTATAGCTGAACTGAACTGGCACAAAGAGAAAACAAAAACTAATTACAGATTTTACATGCTCTAAGAATTCCAACAATGAGTGAAGAAGGTAAATTGTTCTTTCTGGAATTTCCAGTCCTCCCAGATCCAAACCCAATCTCTCAAACCTCATTTCTCACTAATCTCCTATACACATTTTATGTTCTACCCAAACTAAACTACATTGTTTCTCACTTTCCTGGTATCATGTGTTAGCTCAAGTTATATCCTATCTTTCATCTCCACTTATAGAAATCTTACTTATCCTTTAAGTCCTAGGACAACTCTGTTCTCTCTCAAGCTTTACTTGATTTCCTCAATCAACTATAATTATAAGTTCCTCTCATCTCCCATTGCACTTTATATTGCTCTCAGAATATAGTGAATCCTACTTGAGTTTTAACTTTATTTACATTCTACTTCTCTTACTAGGTCAGGATTTCTCAAACAAATATTATTGACATTTTGGACCAGATAACTGTTTGTAGTGGGGGGCTGTCCTGTTCATTGTTAAGGTGCTTAGCAGCCCATGAATGACTGAAAAATTGTGCTGAACACTGGAATTTGACACAACATTGTAAAATGATTATAAATCAATAAAAAATGTTAAAAAAAAAAAGGTGCTTAGCAGCATCCTTGGCCTCTACTGACTAAATGCCAGTAGCATTCCTGTCCTCTAGTCATAATAACCATGACATTTTCAAATATACCCTGGTGGGTGGGCAGAACTGTCCCCAGTTAAGAACCACTGCACCCGATTATAAACTTCTAAACAAAGATCTGTTTTGATTTGGAGGTCATTTAAAACTGCCTGAGTAACTAATCGAGTACATGAACCAATGTGAGGGCATCTGCCTGACACACTATTCCAGTGTTTACTGTTTGTTCATAAACTAACTCCTGCCTTCTAATGAGGTGGCATCTGATTGGGATTGGTCATCCCTACAGAAATTGGAGGGCACTGCAAATGAACAATGCCTAGCCAAGAAAATGGATTGTAACACTATTCCACTGTGCCTACTCAAAGACTCTTCCAGCCATTTATCCCTATTTCTGCATCCCTTCTATATCAATCACCCTCTATCTACTAGAGTAGTCCCATGACACATATATGCTGCTAAAATCTCCCATCTTTAAAGAAAATTTCCCCCAGATTCCATGTTCCATTCCAGCTTCCTTTACAACAAAACTTCTCAAAAGCATTGCTTGTACTTACAGCCTCTGCTTCCTCACCTACCATTTTCTCCTCAAACTACTCCAGTCACATCTCATCATAATGACATGTAATCCATTCTTTTCATCTCAGTAATCTCTTATACAAACATACCTTATTTTATTGCACTTTGCAGATATTGCATTTTTTAAGCAAATTAAAGGTCTGTGGCAATCCTGCGTCAAGCAAGTCTATCAGCACCATTTTTCCTACAGCATTTGCTCACTTCATGTATTTGTGTCACACTTGGGGAATTCTCACAATATTGCAGACTTTTTCAGTATTATTGTATTTATTATGGTAATCTGTGATCAGTGATCTTTGATTTACTATTGTAATTGTTTTGGGGACGTCATGAACCATGCCCACATAGACAACAAACTTTATCAATAAATGCTGTGTGTGTTCTAACTGCTCCACCAACTGGCTGTTTCCCCATCTCTCTCTTCAGACCTCCCTATTCCCTGGGATACAACAATATTGAAATTAGGCCAATTAATAACCCTACAACAGCCTGTAAGTATTCAAGTGAAAGGAATAGTTGCACATCTTTTACTTTAAATCAAAAGCTAGAAATTATTAAACTGCGTTAGGAAGGCATACTGAAAGTCAGGATAGGCTGAAAGCTAGGCCTCTTGTGCCACAGTTAGCCAAGTTGTGAATGCAAAGCAAAATCTCTTGGAGATTAAAGGTGTTACTCTAGAGAACACACAAATGATAAACAAAGCGAGACAGCCTTAAGGCTGATATGGAGAAAGTTTTAGTGGTCTGGACAGATGATCAAACCAGCCACAATATTCCCTTAAGCCAAAGCCTAAACCAGAGCAAGGCCCCAAATCTCTTCAGTTCTATGACAGGCTAAGACAGATGAGCAAGCTGCAGAAAAGTGTGAAGCTAGCAGAAGTTGCTTTATGAGGTTTAAAGAAAGAAGCTGTCTCCAGAGCATAAAAGTACAAGGTGTAGCGTAAGTAGAAGATGCACAAAATTACCCAGATCTAGCTAAGATAATGAAGGTGGCTACACCAAACAATAGATTTTCCATGTAGACAAAACAACCTTGTATTGGAAGATGCCATCTAAGACTTTCATAGCTAGAGAAGAGAAGTTAATGCTTAACTTCAAAGCTTCAGAGAACAGGCTGACTCTTGTTAGAGGCTAACATAGCTGGTGACTAGAAGCCAATGCTCATTTACCATCTAGGGCCCTTATGAATTACAGTAAATTCAAGGGGAGAGTATAGCTCAGTAGCAGAGCACATGCTTAGCATGCATGAGGTCCTGGATTCAATTCCCAGTACCTCCATTAAAATAAATAAATAAAAACCTAATCTCCCCGTGGCTCCCCCCAAAAAACTATGCTAAATTCACTTTGACTGTGCTCTATAAATGAAACAAAAAAGCTGGGAAGACAGCACATCCCTTTACAACATGATTTACTGTATATTTAAAGCCTGCTGTTGAGACCTACTGCTCAGAAAAAATATTTCAAAATATTACTGTTCATTGACAATACACCTGGTCTTAATAGCTCTGACAGAGATGTACGAGACTAATGCTGTTTTCATGCCAGCTAACAGACAATCCATCCTGCAGCCCATGGATCAAGATCAATACAAATATATTAAGAAATACAAGAAAAACAAGGAAAAAACTGCAAAAAAAAACTGCAAACATGTGGAGGCTAAACAATATGCTACTAAGTAACCAATGGATCACTGAAGAAATCAAAGAAATTAAAAAATACTTTGAGACAAATGAAAATGAAAACACAACAATCTAAAATCTCTGGAATGCAGTAAAAGCAGTTCTAAGAGGGAAGTTTATAGTGATACAAGCCTACCTTAGGAAACAAGAAAAATCTCAAGTAAACAACCTAAACTTACACCTAAAGCAGCTAGAGACAGAAGAACATACAAAACCCAAAGTTAACAGAAGAAATCATAAAGATTAGAGCAGAAATAAATGAAATAGAGACAAAAAGCAATATAAAAGATCAATGAAACTAAAAGCTGGTTCTTTGAAAAGATAAACAAAATTGATAAACCTTTAGTCAGACTAATCAAGGAAAAAAGAGGGCCCAAATAAATAAAATCAGAAATGAAAAAGGAGAGGTTACAAACAACACCATAGAAATACAACGGATCATAAGAGGCTACTATGAGCAACTATATGCCAACAAAAAGGACAACCTAGAAGAAATGGAAAATTTCCTAAAAAGGTACAATCTGCCAATCTGCCAAGGCTGAACCAGGAAGAAATAGACAATATGAATAGACCGATTACCAGTATTGAAATTGAATCAGTATTAAAAAAAACTCCCAACAAACAGAAGTCCAGGACCAGATGGCGTCACAGGTGAATTCTACCAAACATTTAGAGAAGAGTTAACACCTATCCTTCTGAAACTATTCCAAAAAATCACACGGGAAGGAACACTTCCAAACTCATTCTATGAGGCCATCATCACCCTGATACCAAAACCAGACAAAGATATCACATAGAAAATTAAAGGCCAATATCACTTATGAATATAGATGCAAAAATCCTCAACGAAATACTAGAAAATCGACCCCAATAATGCATTAAAAGGATCATACACCATGTTCAAGTGGGATTTATCCCAGGGATGCAAGGATTTTTCAATACCTGCAAATCAATCAATGTGATACACCACATTAACAAATTGAAGAACCCAC